TTCTTCAAATATCCTGGACCAAGGCTGAGTTGTAATAAAATAAATATGCTTTTCCCCAACCTCTGCTTGGAATTAATTCCAAGGAAACTGAGGTGAGACTGCGTTGTTTTCGTCTCAGTCAATCAAACATAAAGCCGATTTTAATACACTAGGATTTATGTTTGAGCAAACTTACATAGAAATAGGTTAGCTGCATGATTTGACATAAGCCCCACAGTCTAATGAATTTCAGTCATTAAAAATCAAACGTACTGCAAAATATTTATTCAGAACTAAGGTCCAAAACACCCTGCAGGAATAAAAAAGTTTGAGGCTGTTTTAACTGTCCTGGCTCAGTGCTAGGGAATCCTGGGAATTGTGGTTTATTGTGGCACCCGAGCTCTCTGGCAGAGAAGGCTAAATGTCTTACAAAACTACAGTTCCCAGAATTCCCTAGCACTGAGCCCAAACTGTAAAAGTGGTCTCAAACTGGATTATTTCTGCAGGATGTTTTGGACCATAGATTACCTTACGGTATTTTTCTGGCAAAAGCAGTCTCACACTGGATTATTTCTGCAATGTTTTTTTGGACCACTTACCCCCAGGTGAGGTAGTCCCATGCAAAAGAGGAAAAGGCTTCTCTGCCTTGAGAGAGTAGATGATGCGGACTTCAAGCGTGGTTTGTCCTCTTGCAAACATGCATTACATAATGGACCACACCAAAGAATTTCCCAAAAGGCCAGCCTGTACCTTTAAAGTATAGCAACACTTTTTACCATGCCAACCTTGAAAAACTATGGAATGCTCTAAAAGAAATGGATGTGCCGCAGCATTTGATTGTCCTAATATATAACCTATAATCAAGACAAGAGGCCACTGTCAGGACAGAAAATGGAGAAAGAGAATGGTTTATAACTGGCAACGGCTGCATTTTATCATCCTGTCTGTTTAATTTATATGCAGAACATATCATATAGAAAGCTGGATTGGACTCGGAGGAAGGAGGCGTAAAAACTGGAGGAAGAAGGGACATCAACAATTTAAGATATGTAGATGACCCCATACTACTAGCAGAAAATAAAGACTTGGAACGTCTGTTGATTCAAGTGTAAAGACATATAACTTTGGTATTAAGTCAGGATGGTCCATACCACCATATTTCTGATTTCTGTGCATGAGTGTGAAAGCTGGATAGTGAAAAAAGGTAACAGGAATAGACTCATTTGAACTATGCTGGAGGAGAGTCCTATGGAAACCATGGACCGTGAAAGGACCAATAATAAATGGGTCCGAGAGCAAACTGAGCTTTTTAAATCTCCCCAGAGACCAAAATGACCAAATTGGGGCTACCAGGGGATGCATCTGCGCTGCAGAATTAATATAGTTTGACAGTTGTAACTGCCATGGTTCAATGCTATGGAATTCTGGGAGTTGTAGTTTTCTGAGATATTTAGACTTCTCTGTAAGACAGCCACAAGAAACATCAAATCCCAGAATTTAATAGGATGGAGTCACAACTGCTAAAGCTATGTCAAACTGCATTCATTCTGCAGTGTGGCAGCAGCCATATTCTGGTCATAATTGAGACAACAAGACTCATTAGAAAATATGATCATGCTTGGTAAAATGGGAGGCAGTAGAAAAAGATGAAGAGCATATTACAAGTGGACAGACTCAGTAAAAGAAGCCTAGACCTGAGTTTCCAGAACTGAGCTGGACTGCTGATGATAAGGTGTCTCATTCACCAGGTCATCATAAATTTAAACTTACCAAATTGGTACATGCAGTCCCAACTAATCCTCTGCTATTCCACTTTTTCCACTGCTTTTAAAATGTCCCAGTTTCTTTCTCATCCTCCTACTTTCCCCCTTTTGCTCAGCTTACCTCAGTTGCTACAAACTGAATTCAAAGTGCAAAAGTAATTTGCAATTAATTAATTCAGAAGGATGTAGAGCTGTGATTCCCAAACTCTGGCCTGTTAGGTGTTTTGGACTTCAGCTCCCAGAATCCCAGGCTATTGGCCAAGACTATTGGTTTCTGGGAGCTGAAGTCCAAAACACCTAGAAGGCCAGAGTTTGGGAATCACTGAAGTAGAGGGTGGGGTGGAGTCTTGCCCTTCCCAGTTGTTGCTGTGTGCCTTCAAGTCATCTCCAACTTACAAGGTGAGCCTATTATAGGATTTTTTAGGCAAGCTGAGAGAGTGTGATTTGCCCAGTGTCACCCAGTGGGTTTCATGACTGAGCTGGGATCAAACCATGATCTCTAGAGTCATAGTCCAATGCTCACACCACTACGCCACACTGTCTCTCTCTGCTTCCCAGTAGGATCAGGCAAAAGCAAATTGCTGCAGCATTATTTTAGAGTGTGTTTATCCTAATCCCCCCCTCCCCATTTTGACCATACTCTGATATTGCTTGGCCACACATGTCCCAGTTTTCATCTGTGAAATAGAGGGGCGTGATCAGAATGGGAAGCCGGACTAGGAGCATTTCCTGCACAAATGGGGCTCTTGATGGTGAAGCAATAGTGGGGTGTCCTGCAATGGAAGTCCTCCCTGGAAGAACACTGTGCTATACAACACATCGGTACCAATTTGGGTGCCTGCAACATGCCCTTCCGGTTTAGCCGCTGGCATGTCCCATCTGCACCGGCGAGTGACTCAGTGCCAAAGGATCCAGTCTGACTGGCTTGGCATCGGGACCAACGCAAAGAAGTGCTGGATTCCTTTCCATGCCTTTTCCTCATGCCTTCCTTCCCTCTCCACCCCCGGGAAGAAGGAGGTTGGGGCAGGACACCATTAACCTCCAGGACTCGCTGTTCCTCAAATTGTTTGCCTAGCAAATATCAAAATGGAGAGCCAGTTATGAGGACGGCTAGTCCTCCCACCACGCTTTCTGGTGGTATTTATGTATTTCTTTATTTCATTAGCATGGTGCCTTTCTCCCAGAAGGGACCCAAGTCAGTTCACAGGGGGGAAAAATAAAAATAAAAATTACAATAAAATTTAAAACAATTAAATGAATTTTATATCAACAACTGAGATTCCATAGGCTTGAGTGAAGACTTGTCTTGCTACATCTTGGGTTTTCATGACTGGGTTTCTCTCCTCTTGCACTCCAAATGTCTTCATTGGGAAGCTGCAGGCACTCTCTGGCTTTGCAACCACTTACTTTGTTATCCAGCAATTCTGTACAAGTGATCCCCCAACCTGGCATACCCTCCAACTCTGTCATCCCACTTTTTTGTTTGCTTTTAAAATGTCCCAGTTTCTCTATCCTTTCCCTACTTCCTGCTTTGTCCTCAGCTTACTTCATTTGCTGCAACTATGGTAAGTTCAAAGTTCTATTAACTCAAGGGAGAGGGCAAAATATTGCTCTTCCCAGTGGGCTCAGGCAAAATCAAACTGCTGCAGACTCTCCTAGGTTGTCTGTTTTTCCTTATTAATAACATCTGTCATCTTGATGTTGCTTGGCCACAGGTGTCCCAGTTTTCCTCTGTTAAATGTTGGAGGGTATGGCCTGGTGGCTTATAAACAAAACTGAAATTCAGATGCCAAGCGCTCTAACATTGCAATCTGGTTTGTAACATTAATTTGCCTAGCTAGAAAATGGCCAGTTGGCCAATAGAGGCATTAGGAACCAAATATTAGGATTCAACAGACCAAAGTTGTCAGAGACTTCAGCATGATGCTGATTTTGATTCCTCAACAAGACAATCTGAGGGTTTGTAATCTGTTAAAACATATAGTTAAGAAAGCTTTTGGAGCATAAGCTTTTTGAGAGCCAGCATAGTATTGTAGTTTGAGCATTGGACTATGACTCCGGAGATCAGGGTTCAGTTCCCCACTTGGCCATGGAAAACCAGTGGTTGACCTTGTGCAAGTGACACTCTCTCATCCCCAGAAGACCCCATGCTAGGCCATAGGTTTATCATTAATCGGACACCACTGGAAGGCACACAACAAATAGAGTTTCAACAGTTTTAGCCTTTTCTGTTGTTTTAACTTAGTGATCTGTTCAATGTGCTTTCATCCAATTTAAGTTGTAATGTTTTTGTCTGGCATTGTTTTAAGTTGTTTGTATTGTTTTAATTGTATGCCAGCCTGAGATCTCATGACTGGACTAAAATACTTTAATACATTATGAAAATTCATGACAGAGACGTAGGAAGCTGGAAAAACAGGGGTGGAGGAACATGCTTCTCTAGATGTTTTTGGACTGCAATTCCCATCAGCATGGAAGTTGCAGTCCAAGCTTATCTATGAGACACAACTTATCTATGGCAGGGTGACATGAATACATTGTATTAGACGCAGGCCAAGAGAAGGCATGTGGGGTCTTACTTGCCTCGGGGTGCAGAGCTTCAGCACTGACCCCAAACATTGTATATTGCGACTCTGCCCAGTGGTCAAGCCAGCTCTGCACATTATGACTATTTAAGGGCAACCGATACATTACAAGAGATTAATTGTTCTCTGGTTGTTCCCATTCAGGCTGCCATGTTGTGCAGTTTCTGTCTTGAGTTCCAAGATAGCTTTGGGCTGCCTGGTTTGACAAGGCACGTCTTCTCAAACTGGGTTTTGGCAAAGCCCTGAGCGTCTTAGAACTATTATCCAGGAATCCTATGTGTGAAAAAGAAAGGGCCAAAACAAAGCACACGAATGGGCCTGCCAACTCATAGTAAAGTATCTCTCGCCCATTACTACCACTCCTCTTGCAACACCTAGCCAGAGGGGGTATTTGTTTCATTCTTTGGTGCCAACTCACTTCATGGGAAGGGAAGAGGCCTAGCCCTTCCTTTTTGCAGGAATGGTGTGTGTGTGTGTAGGGCATGCAGAGTGAGAACTGCAGGTAGTTCTGTGAGACACAAGGCCCCAGGCCCTCCCAGCATTTAATGCAGGGGTCGGCAACCTACGGCCCGCGGGCTGAGTGCGGCCCACAGAGGCCTTGGGAACAGCCCGTGGCTGGTCCTGCCGCCGCCACCGCCGCTGCGCGCTGTTGAGCCTTCCCAAATGGCACTCCGCATCGTGCGTGCATGCGTGCACGATGCAGGGCACCATTTTGGAATACCCAATGGCACCGGTGCCAGGCATGGTGCCAGCACCATTTGGCATTCCAAAATGGTGCCCCCCACGTGCGCACGAATTCACACAGCTCCGGCGCCGTTGGACCTTCCAAAATGGCGCCCTGTGTCGGGCGCATGCGTGCGCGATGCAGAGTGCCATTTGGGAAGCCCCAACGGCACCGGAGCTGTGCGCATGCACATGGTGCCGGCACCGTTGGGCGTTCCCAAATGGCTCCCCCACACGCGCACGTATGCACACGACGGTGGGCATTGTGTGCATACACCCCCGCGCGCCAGCCCCTGCCGCCATTTCCTCCCCCCCCGGCAACAAAAAGTTGCCGACCCCTGATTTAATGGATGAACATCAGGACATATGTGCTTGGACATTAGAGTACAGACAAAGGGGTGTTCCCAGGAGCTGCTAGAAAAAGCAGAGAAACCCTAACATTTATGTACTGAGTTTACAAAGGGCAAAACTACACCCTCCCTCCTATTGAGTTAAATGAGCATAAACTAAAGCTGCACTTTGAACTCAAAAGTTTGTAGCAGTTGAAGTAAACCAAAAATGGGAGGTGGAGGAGAGAAAAACAGGGGCATTTAAAAAGCAGATGAGAAAGTAGGATTTGTTTGTTGTTTTGTGCCTTCGGGTTTTTTCCCTCTAACATACGGCAACCCTATCTTGGGGTTTTCTTAGCACAATTTGATCCGAGGAGGTTTGCTGTTGCCTTCCCCTGAGGCTGAGAGCATGTGACTTGCCCAAGGCCATGCAGTGGGTTTAATGGCTGAGCTGGGAATCAAACCCTGGTCTCCAGAGTCGTAGTCCAATACTGAAACCACTACGCCACCTGTCCTGTCCTGACAAATTGGGACAGTTGGAGGGTATGCCAAGCACTCTGAAAAGTCCCTCCATGCTGGTTTGAAAACTGTGAGGAGAGATGAGGAAACTGTTTCATATCCTGATGTTTAGACAGTCAACAATACTCTGCATATGCCTTCCTCCAAATGCACCTTTCCTGAACCCAGAACTCAGGGCAGGCAGGACTGGGGAGGTGAGGCAGCAACCTTAACCAGTGAGTCCTGGGTATCATGAAAAGGCAGCAAGAACTTTAAACTGATTGATTTGTTGTCTTTGGCTGCATCTGCACTACAGAAATAACCCCTTTTGACACCTCTGACTGGGTTCTAGGAAGAGAGATCTTGTAGCATCTTTGAGACTAAAGGAAAGAAAGAAATTGGCAGCATGAGCTTTCGTAGACTTCAGTCTACTTCCCATGCTGCCAATTTCTTTCTTTTAGTGAGTCTCAAAGGTGCTACAAGATCTCTCTACATACTGATTCTACAGACTAACATGGCTATATCTTTGGGTTCTAGGGATTTTACCCATTCTGACACACCTTCTGGGAGCCAGGGTGATACTTTGAATGTTGGATTAGGACTTCTGGAGACTAGAGCTTGAATCCCAACGTGGCCATGGAAATCCAATGTGTGATCTTGGACAAGGCATAGGTTGCATCTACACTGCAGAATCAGTGCAATTTGACACCGCTTTAACTGCCATGGGTCAATGCTATGGAATTCTGGCATTCTGGTTTTGTGAGATATTTAGCTGCCTCTCTAGTGCTCTGGTGCCACAACAAACTACAAATCCCAGGTTTCCATAGGATGAAGCCATGACAGTTAAAGCGGTGTCAGACTGCATTAATTTTACAGTGTAGCAGGAGCCATAGTCTCTCTGCCTTCAAGGGAGGCAATGGCAAACCCCCGCTGAACAAATCTTGCCAAGAAACTCTGTGATCGTGTTGCTTTAGGGTTGCCGTAAGTTGGAAATGACTTGAAGGCACATAGTTACAACAACAAGAGATGGACCCCTGTGGAAGATCCCTAATACTTCCTCTTCCCACATGATGTTGGACTACTGGCATCAGGATCGGATGGGATCGGAGGAGATGGGGTGCCAACTCCTAAATGGGATAAAGGAAGAATGCATCTGCCTGGACAAAAAAGGCCTCCGGAGCCTCTTTCCTTACTCACCGTGTCTCACCAGGAAACCTGTGGCTCCCCAGCATGGAATTTGGAAATGTTGCCTAAAATGAGTAATGTGTTGGTCAGTAGTTTTAACAATTTAGTGACATATTAATGTAAACAGGACTCAACACTGGGGATGATAGTTAATGCAGTATTAATGCAGTTTAACTGCTATTACTGAGAGGCAGTGTGGCACAATGGTTTGAGCATTATGACTATGGCTTTAGAGATCATGGTTCGATTCTCCGCTCGGTCATGGAAACCCACTGGGTTACACACTTTCATCCCCATTGTAGGTTTGCCTTAGGGTTGCCATAAGTTGGAAACAAAGGCACATCATAGTTTTTTGTGTTTTTTTTGGGCTGTGTGGCCATGTTCTAGAAGAGTTTCTTTCTGATGTTTCGCCAGCATCTATGGCTGGCATCTTTTTCTGAAGATGCCAGCCATAGATGCTGGCGAAACGTCAGAAAGAAACTCTTCTAGAACATGGCCACACAGCCCAAAAAACCCACAAAAAACTATGGATGCCGGCCATGAAAGCCTAAGACTTCACAAAAGGCACATCATGTTTTTTTGTGGGTTTTTCAGGTGATGTGGCCGTGTTCTAGAAGATTTTATTCCTCACGTTTCGCCAGCATCTGTGGCTGGCATCTTCAGAGAATGCTTGCATGGAAGTGAGTGGGATATATATATATACACACACACACACACACACACACACACACACACACTGTGTGACCCTTGGTTGAGAGAAGTTGATTTACAAGTCAATCTATGTCTGTTGGTCTGTGGTTGAATGGCAAGGCCTCAGGGTGGGAGGATATGCAAGGAGGCATTGTGTCTATTTAAAGGCACATCAGCTACTACTACCATCACTCCCCATCATTATGCACTTTAAAAATAGTCCCTTCCCTCCCAAATATGATCCTACAAAAATTATGCTTCATAACATTTTACTCATAACCCTCCAAGTTTAACATGCGAAATTGCAAAAAAGAAAGGAAAAGAAAGAAAAGCCTTGTTAACCCCTTGCTAAACTAAATGAACACATCACAACTAGTATGGTTATGTTCAACCTATTACTTCCAAACCTTGCCCCAAAATGTTATTAAATAGCAACTCCCACTCTTGGTTATGCTGGTTTAAGGCCTGATCTATAAATGTAGACAAATTAAATGGTGGAGTCCTGAGTAGAGGTGTTGCATATCATTCAGGTTACAGCATTTGGGAAGGATGGGTTTTCTTGCCATTTCCCCCTGTACATACTCGAGTTCTTACAAATAAAAACCTACCACTTTAGAAGCACACGTCTCTTCCTGCCCATTCCTTCCTGTCCTAGTTTTGCTTAAGATGATGATGATGATTACATTATTATTCTAACACAAGGAAGCATCCCTCCTGCTACACTGAAATGTGTCCAGTTCTAGGAGGGAAAGCCAGTGTGGCATAAAGGGTTGAATGTTGGACCATGACTCTGGGACCAGGGTTCAATTCCCCAGTCAGCCATTAAACTCACTGGACTCCCTTGGATAAATTACAAGCTCTCAGCCTCAGTGGAAGTCAGTGGCAAACTTTGAGCAAATCCTCCCATGAAAAGCCCATCTTAGAGTAGCCATAAGTCGGAAGCAACTCCAAGGCACACAACAACCATAAACCATTTCAGGATTCTTCTGCTACATGCCTAGTAGACATCTTTGGTCTGTTTGGCAGTCCAAATGGTTGTAGCTATTCTTCAACAGCAAATTGACTCCTCACCTACCTGGAAGCAAACAGGATCAGCTTTGATCTTCACACAACCCCAGGTATCTCACTTCCCTCTTCATCCTGTCCAGTGCCACTTCCTCTAACCCGAGTTTTGTAGAGGACTTACCAAAACTCCTCCTTTCAATTACAGGCCAATTTTAAACCAGACCGGGTGGCTCTTGTTGCCTTGGAACTACTTGTGCATCCTCCTTACCTACAAGTGAGAGTAGGCCCAAAGGGTCAAGGTAGCAATGGATTGGTAGATGAGCCTTCTCTGTTGACTTAGGCAGTGGCACAATTACAGACTAAGAAGCCCAGAAGAGTCTATAGCAGGGGTAGGCAACCTTTTTGAGCTGGGGGCCAGGTTGCTGTCCCTCAGACAATTGGGGGGGGGGGGGGGCTGAAGCACCAAAAATAAATAAATAAATAAATAAATATTTTAAAAATTAAAAAAAATATGCATGCACATTCTCTCAGCCCCAGAAAAGCCATGGCAAAACCCCTGTGGAGAATTTGCCAAGAAAACCCCAAGAACAAGTAATAACAACAATAATCAATATCATCATGGCGGGTGGTGGCGGCCGCAGGACCGGCCTGGGGCCAGTCCAAAGGCCTCAGGGGGCCGCATCTGGCCCCCGGGCCTTAGGTTGCCTACCCCTGGTCTATAGTTATTTGGGATGGCGAAGGTCATGTAGATAGCAATGTGTATTACAGAGGACCCCTTGATACCCACTGTAGTTTGGTTCCAGGATGCCCCCATGGATACCAAAATCCATGATGCTTAAGTCCCATTAAATACAATGGCATAGTAAAATGGCAAAATCGAGGTTTGCTTTTTGGAATTGACACTTTAACAAAATATTTTCAAGCAGTGGATGCTTGAATCCGTGGATACAGAGTCAACTGTACTTTATTTTCAAAGTAGATCAGCTCCAGCTGTGCTTGCAGAGCCCTTCCGTTCAGTGAACACCTGAACCTTTGTCCTCCTAGTATTGCCTCAACAACAGGAGTGGCTATCATAAGGCAAATGTAGGGACAATGGGGCAAAAGGCACTGAAAATCACTTGAAGCCTATGGCTTGACTACTGTGAAATCTCTTCTGCACCTAGTTGGTTATAGGTATGGCCAAGCTTTCTAAAAGGCAGTGAGGCACCTCAGGTGCCAGATGCTATGTGGGCAGCTCAATTGCTCCTGTTAACCCCCCACCAACCATTCTGCTCATTTGGATGACAGAGCTGGGTGTGCCACAAATCCTGTCCTATACCCCCAACCATGCTGTTGCCCTCAGGTGTTGTGGAAGAACCTATCACTTTGTTCAATGTTGAAATAAGACTCAATTCTTACACAGTTGGTTTATGTACCTGGAATGAAAAGGGGTGCCATCTTGTCCTTTTTTTCACACTGCAAAGTATGTTGAGTCTACCCAGGTTGTACAACTGACTAGTCCTAAGGCTGGCAGTACTCTTTTTTTTCATAAATGCGAGGCAGCTTAGAAATCAAGGCTATTAACTAGTTACCAAACGGAGCACATGCTAATTAATTCTACTGGAAACGGGAACTGGTTGCCAACTCATGACTGCCACATTGTGACTTCAAAACCAGTTCTCCCCAGAGGCCGAAGGGCAGCAATTCTAATGGTGGGTCACAGCAACCTTTGAAGTCATCCCAAGAAGAAAGCGGAGATAAGGTGACAGGACAACAAGTGAGGAATGAGGTTCAGATCAAAGGACAGATCAACTAGATAGTGTGTATTTGTTTAACTTGTCTTCCCCCTCTCAAATACATAAAGTCCTGTGTGCAAGGACATGGGCTTTTTGAAAGACTACTGTCAGAACCCACCTTCAAGCACAGAAGCCATAAGCACCTTTGATTCCTTTTTTGAAACAAGTTGGCAGTAGACAAGACAGTAGGGATCTTAAAAGGCAAAGATACCAAAAGGACTCTCACTCCCCATTCTCCTCAGTGCCGTTTTTAACAAGCCCCATTGGTACATCCCTTATCCTCCCAACCTCCTTTTGCAAGTCCATGAGGTAAGGCCAAAGGAACAGTTGCCAGTGATGTCGAGTGTGCATATCCTTCCATTTAATTTATCTCAAGTCTGACTGTTCTATTAGATCAAAACAAAGCCTTATTTACATGGTTTACTTTGTTTGTACCAACCTTGTGGAATTTAGTACTTCTGGTCAAGGAATCTGACTTATTGTCAGTAAACCAGCACCTGGGTGGCACCCAAGTCACTCCTAAGAGAACCTCATGCAGCATTCAGTTCTAAACAGATGATCACCAAGAGCTTTATTTTCTTTCTCTTGGGTGATCAAGGCCCGTGGCCCTCAGCCTTTGGCTATCCAGATGTTTTGGACTTTTAACTCTCAGAATATCCAGCTACCAAGGTCAATTAATCTGGGCATTCATGTCTCAAATATCTGGAGGACCAAAGGCTGAGACCCATTAGTTTAGGCCCTAAGGAGCAAAGAGATCATGTGAAAGCAAAGAGAGGCTGAACTACTGAAGTCCAGGTACCAGCAGCATAGTTTTTCAGAAATTAGAAAGCACCAACTTATCCAGTTAAGAAATGGGCTTGGAGGTTTTGTATGCCAGAACCACAAGGGAACCCCCCCCCATTGTTCTAGTCCCAGTTTCTCCTTTTGTCTAGGGGAACCAATTAATTGCCCATCTCACAGGTGAAAAGGGAAGGGAGGAACAGAGTGAAAAAAGTGAGAGCAGGAGGTCAACTCTCCCATACTTTTTATTTTTCAGGCACGAAATTTCACTTTTTTATTCAGTCGTCCATGGAGTCTCTGGATCCAATTTATCTAAAGCAGCAGTCTATCTCCCTTCCCCTTTCTAAAGTTGCCTCTTTGGAGTCTCAGAAAGCAATAAAAGGAGGCAGGAGCTCCAGAAAATCCCGCTCACCCCATGGATTTTGGACTCAGGGTGAAGTCAGAGGAGTGGCTGAGCATGTTCTGCCATAACAAGAAAGTGGCAGTCAGAAACATGTGTCCAGAGCCAGGCTTAGACAGCAAATATTGCCACTGTATGTGGATTATAACTACAGTAGTAGTGAGGAAGACAAGCACCTTGGGGAGGTAAAGTTGCTAGAGATCCTTCCTTTCTAGGGCTCACTGACCTTTAGTCCAAGAGCCAGTAAGATACACGGCCCTGTTTCAACTTGCCCTAACCTTTGGATTCTAGGTCTAGTTTCACCTCAAGAGAGCCTGGCCTCTTCCCCTGCTCCTGCAGTTTCCATCTTATGACTTTCTGAGTCCATTTGGTGACCAACACCACCTCAGCAGTCCACTACGGAGACCAGGCCAATTCTTGGGGAAGCTGGGACACTGAATGGCGAGTGGTGCCCCTCCCCTGCTGCTAGGCACAGGGAGAATCAAAGAGGCAGCAGCAGGAGAGACAAAGAAAGGCCAAGAAGCAGAGAAGCACCAGCACCAGAGGGACCACAGTGCTGGACAAACCCCTGGAATCATGGTAGTTGTGGTCCCTGCTGAGGCGGTCAGGAGC